ATACACGCAAACTTAACCAGCCCTATACACATAAAAGTAACCAGCCCTATACACGTAAAAGTAACCATCCCTATACACCTAAAAGTAACCAGCCCTATACAAGTAAAAGTAACCAGTCCTATACACGTAAAACTAACCAGCTCTATACACATAAAACTAACCAGCTCTATACTCGTAAAACTAACCAACCAACAAACCAGCTCTATACACGTAAAACTAACCAGCTCGATACACATAAAACCAACCAACCAACAAACCCACCCTTTACCCGTAAAACCAACCAGCCCTATACACGCAAAACTAACCAGCCCTATACACGTAAAACTAACGAGCCCTATACACGTAAAACTAACCAGCTCTATACACATAAAACTAACCAACCAACCAACCAGCTCTATACACGTAAAACTAACCAGCTCTATACACGTAAAACTAACCAACCAAGAAACCAACCCTATACACGTAAAACTAACCAGCCCTATACACGCAAACTTCACCAGCCCTATCCACATAAAAGTAACCAGCCCTATACACGTAAAAGTAACCAGCCCTATACACGTAAAAGTAACCAGCCCTATACACGTAAAAGTAACCAGCCCTACACATGTAAAACTGACCAGCCCTACACATGTAAAACTGACCAGCCCTATACACGTTAAACTAACTAGCCCTATACTCGTAAAACTAACCAGCCCTATACACGTAAAACTGACCAGCCCTGTACACGTAAAACTGACCAGCCCTATACACGTAAAACTAACCAGCCCTATACACGTAAAACTAACCAGCACTATACACGTAAAACTGACCAGCCCTATACACGTAAAACTGACCAGCCCTATACACGTAAAACTGACCAGCCCTATACACGTAAATCTAACCAGCTCTATACACGTAAAACTAACCAGCTCTATACACCTAAAACGTATCAACCAACCAACCAGCTCTATAAACATAAAACTAACCAGTTCCATACACATAAAACCAACCAACCAACCAACAAACCCACCCTATACCCGTAAAACAAACCAGCCCTATACCTGTAAAACTAACCAGCCCTATACAGGCAAAACTAACCAGCCCTATACACGTAAAACTAACCAGCCCTATACACGTAAAACTAACCAGCCCTATACCCCTAAAACTAACCAGCCATATACACGCAAAACTAACCAGCCCTATACACGTAAAACTAACCAGCCCTATACACGTAAAACTAACCAGCCCTATACACGTAAAACTAACAAGCCCTATACACGTCAAACTAACCAGCTCTATACACATAAAACTAACCGACCAACCAACCAGCTCTATACACATAAAACCAACCAACCAACAAACCCACCCTATACACGTAAAACTAACCAGCCCTATACACGCAAACTTAACCTGTCCTAAACGCGTAAAAGTAACCAGCCCTATACACATAAAACTAACCAGCCCTATAAACATAAAACTAACCAGCCCTATTCACGTGAACTAATGGGCCTTTTCCATCTGTACCGGGTCGGCCCGGGCCGGGTAGCGTAGGTTGTTTACATATCTGGGTGGCCTGGTATTTTTACGGGCCAACCAAGCCTCATTCTCAGCCCTCTTCTCGAGGGGGTCTGCTTCAGGCCGACCAGGGCCAACACACCCACTGCTGACAGCAAATTCACACCTTCCATTAGAGCAAGCCTCTGATTGGTGGGTAGAATCAGCCCACATGGGCTTAAGACAAGGATGTGTGGAATCAACCGGGCCAGGCAGGGCCGACTGTGGCTACCCGGCCCGGGCCGACCCGGTACAGATGGGAATGGCCCATTACCAGCCCTATACACGTAAAACTAACCAGCCCTATACACGTAAAACTAACCAGCCCTATACACGTAAAACTAACAGCCCAATACACGTAAAACTAACAGCCCAATACACGTAAAACTAACCAGCCCAATACACGTAAAACTAACCAGCCCTATACACGTAAAACTAACCACCCCTATACACGCAAAACTAACCAGCCCTATACACGTAAAACTAACCAGCCCTATACACGTAAAACTAACCAGCCCTATACACGTAAAACTAACCAGCCCTATACACGCAAAACTAACCAGCCCTATACACGCAAAACTAACCAGCCCTATACACGTAAAACTAACCAGCCCTATACACGTAAAACTAACCAGCCCTATACACGTAAAACTAACCAGCCCTATAAACGTAAAACTGACCAGCCCTATACATGTAAAACTGACCAGCCCTATACACGTAAAACTAACATGCTCTATACACATAAAACTAACCAGCTCCATACACATAAAACCAACAAACCAAAAAACCCACCCTATACCCGTAAAACTAACCAGCCCTATACATGCAAAACTAACCAGCCCTATACACGCAAAACTAACCAGCCCTATACACGTAAAACTAACCAGCCCTATACACGTAAAACTAACCAGCTCTATACACATAAAACTGACCAACCAACCAACCAGCTCTATACACGTATAACTAACCAGCTCTATACACGTAAAACTAACCAACCAACAAACCCACCCTATACCCGTAAAACTAACCAGCCCTATACATGCAAAACTAACCAGCCCTATACACGTAAAACTAACCAGCCCTATACACGTAAAACTAACCAGCTCTATACACATAAAACTTAACCAACCAACCAACCAGCTCTATACACGTATAACTAACCAGCTCTATACACGTAGAAACTAACCAACCAACAAACCAACCCTATACACGTAAAACTAACCAGCCCTATACACGCAAATTTAACCAGCCCTATACACATAAAAGTAACCAGCCCTATACACGTAAAAGTAACCAGCCCTATACATGTAAAAGTAACCAGCCCTATACACGTAAAAGTAACCAGCCCTATACATGTAAAACTGACCAGCCCTATACACGTAAAACTGACCAGGCCTATACACGTAAAACTGACCAGCCCTATACACGTAAAACTAACCAGCTCTATACTCGTAAAACTAACCAACCAACAAACCAGCTCTATACACATAAAACTAACCAGCTCCATACACATAAAACCAACCAACCAACAAACCCACCCTTTACCCGTAAAACTAACCAGCCCTATACACGCAAAACTAACCAGCCCTATACACGTAAAACTAACGAGCCCTATACACGTAAAACTAACCAGCTCTATACACATAAAACTAACCAACCAACCAGCTCTATACACGTAAAACTAACCAACCAAGAAACCAACCCTATACACGTAAAACTAACCAGCCCTATACACGCAAACTTAACCAGCCCTATACACATAAAAGTAACCAACCCTATACACGTAAAAGTAACCAGCCCTATACACCTAAAAGTAACCAGCCCTATACACGTAAAAGTAACCAGTCCTATACACGTAAAACTAACCAGCTCTATACACATAAAACTAACCAGCTCTATACTCGTAAAACTAACCAACCAACAAACCAGCTCTATACACGTAAAACTAACCAGCTCCATACACATAAAACCAACCAACCAACAAACCCACCCTTTACCCGTAAAACCAACCAGCCCTATACACGCAAAACTAACCAGCCCTATACACGTAAAACTAACGAGCCCTATACACGTAAAACTAACCAGCTCTATACACATGAAACTAACCAACCAACCAACCAGCTCTATACACGTAAAACTAACCAGCTCTATACACGTAAAACTAACCAACCAAGAAACCAACCCTATACACGTAAAACTAACCAGCCCTATACACGCAAACTTCACCAGCCCTATCCACATAAAAGTAACCAGCCCTATACACGTAAAAGTAACCAGCCCTATACACGTAAAAGTAACCAGCCCTATACACGTAAAAGTAACCAGCCCTACACATGTAAAACTGACCAGCCCTACACATGTAAAACTGACCAGCCCTATACACGTTAAACTAACTAGCCCTATACACGTAAAACTAACCAGCCCTATACACGTAAAACTGACCAGCCCTATACACGTAAAACTGACCAGCCCTATACACGTAAAACTAACCAGCCCTATACACGTAAAACTAACCAGCACTATACACGTAAAACTAACAAGCCTATACATGTAAAACTGACCAGCCCTATACACGTAAAACTGACCAGCCCTATACACGTAAATCTAACCAGCTCTATACACATAAAACTAACCAGCTCTATACACCTAAAACGTATCAACCAACCAACCAGCTCTATAAACATAAAACTAACCAGCTCCATACACATAAAACCAACCAACCAACCAACAAACCCACCCTATACCCGTAAAACAACCCAGCCCTATACCTGTAAAACTAACCAGCCCTATACACGCAAAACTAACCTGCCCTATACACGTACAACTAACCAGCCCTATACACATAAAACTAACCAGCCATATACACGTAAAACTAACGAGCCCTATACACGTAAAACTAACGAGCCCTATACACGTCAAACTAACCAGCTCTATACACATAAAACTAACCGACCAACCAACCAGCTCTATACACATAAAACCAACCAACCAACAAACCCACCCTATACACGTAAAACTAACCAGCCCTATACACGCAAACTTAACCTGCCCTATAAACGTAAAACTAACCAGCCCTATAAACGTAAAACTAACCAGCCCTATACACGTAAAACTAATGGGCCATTTCCATCTGTACCGGGTCGGCCCGGGACGGGTAGCCTAGGTTGTTTACATATCTGAGTGGCCTGGTTTTTTTCCGGGCCAACCAAGGCTCATTCTCAGCCCTCTTCTCGAGGGGGTCTGCTTCAGGCCGACAAGGGCCAACATACCCACTGCTGACAGCAAATTCACACCTTCCATTAGAGCAAGCCTCTGATTGGTGGGTAGAATCAGCCAACATGGGCTTAAAGTAGTGGTAATCCCCTGTCAGAGTCTTACTCCACCCACATTTCATATTTGAAAAATGCGGCCCAAAGAGGCGTTTCCTGTAAGACCGAGAAGGCGGAGCTACGACCGTGATTGACATACTGAAATTTGAATACAGATGGCGACGGAGAGCGACAGTAGCTCAGAGCAGTCATTCGAGGTGGAGGACTTTTCCCCACCTTCTTCCCCAGAGGATAGGGAGGAGGGCTTATTGGGGGAAGCAAGCGGTCCTGAACCGTATCTTTTTGAGCCACTAGCTCGTGAGTTGTCAGAGGCCCCTGGAGTCGAGCCAGCAGGAGTATCAAGGCATCTAATGGGTCCAGTCTCTGAGTGGTAAGTAGCTTTTAGCCACAGCTAGCTATATTTAGCTTAGCTAAAAGTAATTTTGTATGACTGCCTCAACAGGTGCACCTTTGGCCACTGCACATCATTGTCTGCCAGAGAAAATGTGTGCTGCAGAGAAACGCCCAAGGTATAAAAATAAAAGTACCCCACCATGAGAAAAGCATTCTGTAATGTACACATTTGTTACACAATCACTAACATCATACTAATATTGAACTCTTATAGCCCTGATATCAGTTGTTCTTTGTCATAGGTAATGCTCAGGTGTCAGCAGGTGGGTGTAACCTCCTGCATAACAGAGCATCCTGGTTTTGAGGCTGTTGCTCTGAATCCCTACGTGTTGCAGGCAGTTTATGGCAGCTTTCTGCAACTCTATGGGGAGATGCAGGAGACTACGCTCAACAGGTAAGACAACTGTCAAAATAATTTTTTTATGAATACTTTATAACTCATACCACCTCTTTCTCAGCTGTTACAGACATCTGGCGTACCGGAATGTGGTCAGGTGGTGTTGGGGTTACCTGGGACAGCACGTTCGTGTTGTGATCCCGTCATGCGCTGTCTCCAGAATAAGGCAGGAGTTCCCAGAAGACGGTGCATACAAAGGATTCCTCCCTCCTCTGAACTAATATATATTTTTTGGATTAAATAAATGTTATAATATATATTTCCTGTATTGATTCCTGTCCATAAAAAGCTGCATAAATCACAAAACGGTAAATGCACTTCTTTACACTTTGACATTATTTATATATACACACATATAGCCACACACTTTTCAAATGAGCTCTTACAACAGTAAGGTTCTAATTCGGGGTTAATTAATGCTGCTGTAACAAGTGAGTTTACACCCTGTGTGATTAATGAAGTCTAATCTAGAGCAGGTTCAATTAGGTAAAAATGAATGATAATTTAATAAATGTGATATATGTATTTATACAAATCAAAATATCAATATAATTGTATTTAAAATGACACAATTGCGCTTTAAAGATAACATTTATTATAGCTACTACTAAGACAACGTTAGATTACAATCTGATCATAACTTTCATGATTTTTGACAAAACTCTAAACCACAAGCAGAGATTCTGGAGCCATGTGAGGATAGGTTGGGCCATCAGTGATGTTTCTTTGGTTCCTTAGACTGGAGGTAGCTTTCACTGTGATGACAAACGTGGAGATGGATCCCGGGAGCACAGGCTTTTCTGTAACAATATCAGGAGGCTCTGAGGAAAAAAGTAATATTAGTATGACTAGTATGACTTACAAAAGCAAGACTGGTGAGTTTTGTTATGTTACATACGGCCAAGATTTTCAAGTTGTATGGGAGCCACAGAGCAGAAAGGTTGTAGAGATCAATAGACATCTGGGAGGTGGACAGCATGAGTCACGAGTGGATGAGCATAAAGATCCATAATGACGACAGGTAACTCCTCTGTCGTACAGTGGTGTGCAGCCTGGCTGAGGAGGAGAAAAGGAAAAACCACACAGAGTAGAGTACTAACTAATAATTACAATCTCTTGTTGTGTAGCTCACCTTACGTGCACTTTAAAACCTGGACCTGTGCCTGCTCACAGCATCCCGTTTATCTGGTCTTTGGAACTGGGCACAGAGCGGTTCTGGAACCGGAATTTTGTCCGAGTACTCCTGATATGGGAGAGGATCCACCACCACAGAGTCGAACAGCAGATCTATAAGCTTGTGCACATATACTGGAAAAGGGTTTTCAGTATTACAATAGCTCTCCATGACATCATTTTGGTTTTATCATACAATATATGACATACATGAGGTTGGATTGGTCTTCAGGGCTCTCACTGTGTAGTCTCCATGTTTGTACTTTGGGTACACTACAGCATATCTCAGCTCACCAGTTGCTGTTGCTGCATGTGAGCGTGCTGCATTTTCATTATAGTGCATTGCAGCAATTTGTAATCTGAAATAATCAAATAAACAAACCATGTAGATTTTAGGCAAAATTCTACATTTCATTCTAAAATTTGAACAATTAGAGGCATTATTTTGAACATTTGTTGTATTCATTACCTAGACAGCATTCCTTTGAAGGAGAAGACCTGACTTTTTGGAGTAAATCTGATGATGAGACTGTGGAAAGCCTCCAAGGTGGATGTGTGGTACTGAGGGCTTATCTTCTCTAAGTCCTTCACAAACCGTGGAGCTAACAGAATGGCAGTGAGCTTCTCACATGATGCTGTGCCTAAGTAGAAAATGTTAATTACAAAAATTACAATTTGATCAACTTTAGAATGTTGCTATTATTTCATTGAGAAAAAGTTACCCATAGCTGACATTTTTAGATGACAAATGTATGAAAGAGTGACTAATAGTGCTGTAGACAGGTGTGGTAATTACTTACGGCATTTTAGTACATATTATGTCAATTATGGCTGTTCTGCCTAAAACCATGAGTTGTGTGGCGCACTCTTCTGTTTAAATTTCTGCACAGCATTTTATTCTTAGTAATTAATTGCTGTTGGCCAAATGGTGGTGTGTGACCTTAGCAGCCACATGTGACGTCTGTAACTCTCATGCTCCAAAAATATTTCTCCATGTTGAAGGAGGTGAAGACAAATATTCTGTTGTGGGGTGACGTGTTTTAAATGTAAAGAAACCAAACAGTAAAGGCTCAGCTGTAATGAGTACATGCTACACTTACTTGGTTTGAGCCACTGTCTTGCCTGTTCTCCATCCAGAGGTGCATGCAGACAGCTAGGGAACAGGGCGTTGTCATGGCTGTGCACATTTTGGATGTGGTTGGCAACTGAAGTCCACTTTGCTACTGCCTCCTGTCCTGAGGAGGAACTGGATGCTGACCAGTAGAGGTGGTTCACCACACTTTGCTTCCACAGTCTCACATCCTGGGTCGTCTTTCTCTTCCCCAGCGCTTCGATTTTCTTACCAATTCCTGGAGAGCCAAACAGACCCACATTTAAAATAGAAAAAAAATCCTGTAATATTCACTATATACATCCACAAAGATTACCTTTTCCCATGTGCCAGGGGTCAAAGTAGTGACTGATTTCCTTTTTTTCCTCCCGCAAATACTTCTGCACTCCTGTGTGGCGGTCAGTCACGACTTGCTGCACATCGACCCCCCTCTCCAAAAGTGTGCTCAGACTTCTCACAAATCCCTCCTTCTCCATTCGCACACTATTTCCAACTTCATTGCTCTGAAAATAAACATAATTCTCCATTGATCTGTGAATAATTAACCATGAAATGCATTGGAATCATCAGGTAATGTTGTACCTGTACAAGTTGGATATCAGTAACTTTGTTTCTTTTGAGATCCTTCATGGTGCAGCTGCCATATTTGGCTGAGTTTCCTTCAAGAAATGCAAGTTATTACTTAATTTACATTTGATAGCAAAGGAATAAAATAAATAAATTTAAAAGTATTCACCAGGTGAATCAGCTCGCATGTCACCACCAAGAGTCACAGGTCCAGATTCAGTAGCCTCCTGGATGATATCAGCTTGCTCTAGCTGCCACTGCCAGCTCACTGTTGGAATTAACAGCTTTGCCTGATGTCGAAAGAATGTCTGCTTGGACAGTCCCTGCACATTGAAGGCACCCAGGAACTAAAATATGAAAAGTTACGTCATGAAATGAGAGACGCACAGACCTTATCAAAACCAACCTAAACAGTTTTGGCCTATACCTTAGAAATCTGGCTAAATGATGAGCCTGTGAAAAGGACAGCAGCACAGAGCTGGAGGTTTCCTGCTGGGATGCTGTTCACCATGGGCTTACTGGACCACTCATTGTAGTGCTCACAGCATGAACACCGTTGTGTCACACGGAGCAGTGTGCCGACTGTTGTCGTGTTCACAACACAACGACCGGTACAAACGGGACACCTTCTGAACAGCCCCAGCAACTGTTTCTCATGAACAATGTACTTCTTGTCCTTTTGTGGATGGACCTCAGTGAAAGAGCTGTATAGAACACATACATTTATATATATGGTCATAACTAAAAAATTCTAAAATGTTATAATTTTTTTTTACCTTGAACAGTTCACTGAGCTTCCACTGTCATTGAGGTGGAAGCTGGGATCAACAACAGACACCTCATATCGTGGTCTTTTCAGGGGTGTGGACGCAGCTCTGGGACTTTGTGGAAGATGAATTTCCGTCACGGTCCCTGTGTCACAAGACACACTGCGGCTGTGAGCTTTAAACTGGGTGGCTATGTAAAATACAAAGAAGCAGCACATTTATAAATGTTTAAAAGAGCATAAAATCACGTGTAACAATAATCTGCAAAACAAATAAAAACTAGAAGGTAATAATAAAATGTTTACGTAGAAGATTATTAAAAATAATTCACCTTTGCTACGTCGATAAGGCTTTACATGAGCCTGGACAAGTGCATTTTTGCAGATTACTAAATCAGTCTGACAGCCAACGTCTTGGGTAGATTTAGCCTGAAAAAAAAATAGAAGCACATTGTTGTTGTTGTTTATAAAGTCAGATAATATACAAAAGAAACTGTCCGAAATATATATATATATATATTTATATATATATATATATATATATATATATATATATATATATATATATATATATATATAGGCGCTTTATGACATTCCTAGTGTGTGATCGTTATTATAACGTAAAAGTCAGTCACATATGATGTGAAGAACCTGAAATGCGACCTCCTGAACAGAATTCCTCACAGAACCGGGTTAGGCTTTGGTGTAAAGCTGGATTTCACGCTGTAATGATGTCTGTCAACTAGTGCTGCGTTAGAGCCACTGTTGCTGAATTACCGACTGACACAAAAACAACCCGGATTTTCTCCGAGCCTGACAGAAATAGTCATGTGGACCTTTTTGTCGGCCAGGGCTTCGAGAAATGTTCCGATTCTCCGCTGATTCTAACCTTACATCCCGTTCCACATTTTGTGAACTTGACAATTTAGCCCGAAGGCAGTGCAGGCTGATATTAGCTAAAGGAAGTGAACCACGTCTCTCAAACTTTGCATTTAGGTAGGGAATTGTCTTTAGAAGATGTTAAAACGTTTATTTAGCTTACTCACCTCAGACTGGAGCCCGCCATGGTGGGGGAGCAGAGTCGGTGGGCTGCATCTAATTCGTGGAAGAGCCACGGTGGGCACGGCCTCACTCTTCAAACGGAGACGTGCAGAATAACCCAGTTCAAACTCCATCATGTTGGCGAAGGAATCGCGGGTAAAATGCTGGTTGCAGACTACAGCACCAGGCGGGAGCTGACTGTTATCCTGTACACGATTGCGCGCAACCACTGGCGCCTAATTTCTAAGTCCAGTGGAAAGGAGTGCAACCCCACAGAGCTACCACAACCAACTACACTACACCTTTTAACCATACTAACACTATATGGAACACTAAACCCGAATTATTTTCCTAATAAAACTAACAGCTAAACACTAACTAAACTACAATATCTAACAGCCAAGCTGACACTAAATAAGTACTAACACAATATGGAACACTAAACCCGAACTACTTTCCTAGTAACACTAAAAGCCAAACACTAACTAAACTACAATATCTAACAGCCAAGCTAACACTAAATAAGTATTTATAACACTAAAAGCTATGCTAAAGACTATAATATGCTAATGCTATATGCTAATGCTGAACTACCGCTAAC